GGGGTAGAGAGTGGGGGGAGAGTGGGGGGAAAGAGTGGAGGGAAAGAGTGGGGGGAGAGAGTAGGGGGAGAGAGTAGGGGGAGAGAGTAGGGGGAGGGAGTAGGGGGAGAGAGTAGGGGGAGAGAGTAGGGGGAGAGAGTGGGGGTAGAGAGAGGGGATAGAGAGAGGGGGGAGATGAGCGGGCGGGGGGGAGAGAGGAGGGGATGGGAAGGCGGAATTGAAGCCCTTGCTCATACTAAAAACGTCGTCATACTGTGGATGAGGGGCAATGGAGGAGCGGAAGGAAAGAGAAAGGGAAAGGGAGTGGGTTGCGGGATGAACACGGAAGAGGTAGCACGAGTTATGTCATCTTCGTGAACGTCATTATGCCGGGGGGTGAAGGGGTGAGGGCGAGGGTGAGGGTGAGGGTGAGGGCGAGGGTGAGGGCGAGGGTGAGGGCGAGGGTGAGGGCGAGGGTGAGGGCGAGGGTGAGGGCGAGGGTGAGGGGAGAGCAGCTGGAGGAAAAGTGGTGAGGCAGCGCACGTGGAGTTAAAGCCCTGGTAGCCCAATTTCATTTCACTAAGATGGGGGTCTTGTCATCAGCGCAAGGGTGAGCGCAAGTGGATGGGGAGGGGAGGTATAGCACGTGGTTTGTTCTTAAGAACCAGTCTAAATTAAATGTAGTGACGACGCAGATGACAAGAAGAGGACGGCGACTACGGGACGACGGCACGGGAGGGCGGGACAAACCAGTTGAGAGAGCTGTGAGCGACGTACGCGAGTGTTTAGTGATGCACGCCAGGGAATAGTGACGCACGCGACCGATAAGCAATGTACAGGCGCTTAGCAACACACACGGAGGTTCGCGACGTACACGAACGATTAGCGACATCCGCGAACGACCGGCGACATTCACGAAAGAAAGGCGACGTACACGAAGGATGCGATGCAGAAGCATATTTCGAGGAAGCGCAGCACGATGGGGATGAGGAGGTACGACGACGAGCTCCGGTCCTTTCCCTCTGCCATGGCTACCACTCGCGTCGTGCACCAAAGAGCCGGGTGAAGCGAAAGAAGCACACACGCGATTCACGCCAAGTGATCGAGAGACAAAACAAGGTTTCCCAGTTCAATCGCACACGAATCGTCGTAGTTTCTACACAAAGAACAAAAGAAGCAGGAGTTGCCAAATAGGTTACAGCAAGCAGGCGAGAATATTGGGTGGGTGGAGGGGAGAGGAGATGGGAAGGGAAAGTTGCTGCTGAAATTTCGACTCTTGCAAACTGTACACCAAGAATGTTCTGAAAGGGGCAGGCTCGCGCCGCGCTAGGCCTTTGCGCAAGAACGTGGGTTTGGCGCGTAGAAAAACAGCTCCCTTCGGTTATGGGCTGGCAGAGAACTACTTTTTGGTTCGAATCAGCCTGGTTCCTTTTGGTTCTAATTGATTTCGTCAGGTTCCGTTTGGTTCCGCTCTTCCCAGTGGTGCGAAATTTTTGGAGGCTCTGTGCTGTGGGTTGGGGACAAAGGATCGAACAGGCGCTAAAACTTGTCGATACTGTACAAAAGGGGCACTACTGTACGGGGCACGAAAGGAAAATAAGCCCAGTTGCCCCATTCCGTGTTGGCGGTGCCCCAATTTTCTTTCAGTCTTCAGCCGTCCAAACCGATCATCTGCACTTCCAATCGACGGATATGAGCAATATCCAACAGCCCAGCCGAACCGCCTTTCCCCACCAACGTGCCCTAGGCCCGCAATTCTTCTGACGCCTCCATTCTGCACGGCGCAATTCTGGCGCATTTTCGCGCACAGTTAGACTTCAGTTGTACAGTGCTGCCCGAGTCCCGAAAGTTTGGTTTCCATCTTGGGGCTGTCCTGCCAAAACCGAGCCATTCCTCCCTCCCTCTTCTTGCCACAGTCCACCGCATTGACTCCCTCACTCCGACCTCCTTGCATACTCGCTCCAACTCACTGCTGCAGCAGTACTTTTTCTTGCCTCCCTCCCGTGTTTCTAGCTTCAATTTGACTTTTTCGACAATAATCTAACTCCACTCTAGCAAAGGTTCTCTACATCCAGTCGTTCTCGTCACCGTCGGCCTCTCTGCCTTACCTGTAGTGGTTGTCGCTCGCACGGAGCCATGGGTTCCTCGGCTAAGGCCTTCCCCATCGCGCTGCGCTTCCTCGAATGCTGCTTCTGCTCCGCGACCTTCGCGTACGACACTCCAGCCACTCTTGCTCTCTCCATGTCGACGCTTGAGAACGTATATGTTCGAGGAGCGACTTTGAAAAGCATATCTTTCGTGCAATTTTGCCTCGCAAACGGTAGTAATTCCGTCTCTCTTGACGTTTTGCATTCTCTGCCCACTGCGGTTCGATTCAACGACAATTTATCGCGCTCCGAGGCCCCTGAGAGATACCAAATATCTAAAAGCGCATCTTCACGTCCCCGCGCGTCCCTCTTAGCGTCCCTTCGTCACGGTGGGCGCGCCTCTTTCCTCAAGTATCCACTCGCCCTCCCCGATTCCCGGGAGGGTAAATGCAGCGCCAAATGGGGCGTAGCTCTGCCCCCCGCTCCTCCCCCCCTCCCCTTCCCACCCAACCCCCCTCTGCCCTCCTCCCCCCGCCAAGTTGATCTTCTCCTGGAAGAGCATCAACGTCGCGAGTTTCCTGTTCATTTCGCATCTCATTATCCACTCCCTTTCCTCTTCCCCCCCCCTTCCCCCCATCCCCCCCACGACCCCGCCCCTCCCCCTTTCTTCCCCCTCTCTCTCATTCCCCCGTCAGCATCCTCTGCTACCTCAATATCTCCTGTAAGAGCATCGACGTGACGGCGTTCCTCTTCATTGCGCCTCTCATTGCGCACTCTCCCCCCTTCTCCCCCCCCACTTCCTCCCCTCCGCCTTCCCACCCCGCTTATCTCTCCAGCATCCTCTGCTACCTCAACTTCTCCTGGAGGAGCATCAACGTGACGGCGTTTCTCTTCGGCACGGGCGTCACGGGGCTCATCCTCTCCTTCATCCACATGCTCGTACACGTCGCCGCCGTCGCGGGGGTCAAGATGGACTCGCTCGGCTCGCAGCTCTTCTGCAGCTTCGTAAGTGGATCGTTCGTACAAGGGGAAAGGGGGTAGAACGAAAAGTCCACTTCTTGAATAACGCATAAACACCCCTTTCCCACACCGCCTGATGCTGCTGCTGGCAGCACATGCTGCGCTGGTATCTTGTAATTTTGTATCCGGCTGGCAATCCCCGTCTCTCGTCACATGCTGCGCGCTCGTCCCGCATTTACACCGGCAACCCTGCTTTCGTCACACGATGCTGCTGCTGCTCCTGTTCATTTTTTAGGCGCCTCTAAAATAGACCCCTCTTCCCGCATTCCCACTGCCAAACCTGGTTTCGTCAGACGATGATTCTGATGCTCCTGCTCGACGCGCCGTGCGCGGCGATAGGCGATTTTCGAGTCGACACAAAAGCCATCAAAAGAACCCTCCATTCCCCGTCCCGTGTCAACCCTTCGTTCCGTAGCAGACTCCCGCGTCAGATTATGCTGCTGCTGCTCCTGTTCCCCGCATCGTGCACATCTTTTCACGCGCCTAAAAAATGTACCTTTTTGTTCTCTCGCCAACCCCTGGTTAACCCGCATACACCCCGCCAACCCCTGGTTAACCCGCATACACTCCGCCAACCCCTGGGTTCCCCCTTACGCACCCCCCTTCAGATGATGATGATGCTCCTGTTTGCTGCGTCGTGCGCATCAGCCTCCTTCACATCCCGCATGTGCAACTCCTACTCCTCCAGCTTCCTCCTCGGCTTCGTGTGAGTCCCCCTCCTACTTCACTGCTTGCTGTCCTCATTCTCCCCCTCACCGCTTCCCCCTCACCCCCCCCTTACGTCCTCCCCTCTCCCCTTCTCCCTCTCCTCTCCCCCCTCACATCTTCCCCCTCACCTCTTCCCCTCACCTCTTCCCCCCTCAACTCTTCCCCCTCACCTCTTCCCCCTCACCTCTTCCCCCTCACCTCTTCCCCCTCGCCTCTTCCCCCTCACCTCTTCCCCTCACCTCTTCCCCCTCGCCTCTTCCCCCTCACCTCTTTCACATCCCGCATCTGCAACTCCTACTCTCCCAACTTCCTCAGAGTCGTGCATGTCCCTCCCCGCCCTCGCTCCTTACTGTCCTTGGCTCTTGCCCTAATCCCCCCCCTTCCCCTCCTAACACCCTGCTCCCTCTCTCTAATGTACTCCCTCTCTTTGCTCTCTGCCATACCCACTAGCCTGACCCTGCACCGTTGTTCCTCTCTGCCCCCCCACTCCTCTTCTCCCCTGCCCCCTGCTGTACGCGTTACAGTCAAGACAGCTGCACCCTGCTCAAGTGGTCCAACGCCATGGGGTTCCTCGGCACAATCACCTACATGACATCCTTCTGGTAAGCACAACTCCTACTAGCTCCAGACTATGTTTCAGTAAGCATGTTCAATGCAACCACTAGAGGTGGCGTATCATGTGTACTTTATATAACACTAGATTTTTGCTCATGCTTTGCAGAATGCGTAGTCATTTTCATTTACCCAGCCTTTTTCAGCTTGACTAACACGTTTATTGTGCTATCTTGCCATGCGTTGGTGGTTCTTGCAGGGTGTTCACTTCGTTCATTTACATGGAAGCTTAAATTGGTGTAGATCATGTCTAAATAATCACTTCGAACATTTGCACTAATTAGAACACATATTTCAAAGTCTGATGGATTACATATTTTTTGTGTATGACCTAGCAACAACTTGTATCGTAGCTCGAGCAAAGTCTGGTTCACTTTTGTAGGTCGCAGTCACATGGCTTTCAGGCCGCCTGACTCGAGGAGGTATTCGTGTCAATAGCATTGTTCAAGGAGGGCCTCTAGTTGACACTAGACGTGACACGATGCAGGAACAGTACCCTACAGCTATTCACGGTTTGTCCCCGCTTGTGCTGCCGAGCAACATAGGCAGGTCGTCCGCAACTCGTGCCCTTCTTAGTTCGGAAATCGACCAATCGTAGCGGTCTGACACACGTGACCTGACCACGTGGGACACCGTTCGCTGCTCTGCAACCACACAAATGACCCACGCGGCATTTCCCATCCCTCTGCGTGCTTACCCTGAACCACGCGGCTCGATAGCCCTAGGAGTTTGACTTGTGTGAGTTAGGCTGCTGTTAGTTTCCCGCCTTTTCCCCAGGTGATAGTTAGGTAATCTGCGTGCGAACCTGCTAGCCACGTGGCTCACGTATTTCGTTGGTAATTGAAGACTAGGATGATTCAGTGTCATTAGGATCATATCATATCTGGTATTTCGTGCGTGAAGTAGGTCTGTACGCGATCCGATAGTTTGCGTCTCCGTCGCGTGCTGCGGAAGGCCAGTAGCTAATTTTATATTTAGCCTGTAGATCCTTTTATTCTATACTGAGCCGGTTTACAGCGATAAACATTTTTTTTTTCGATGGAGAAGGATATGCATGAAGTGTCGAACCTTATAACGGATGGCGAGGGCGGCGCGAAGGTGGTGGCGGGGAGGAAAGCCCCGACAGTCATCGCACAGACGGAGCGTCGCGACAGAAAAGTCGTCGCAGCCGTCAAGGCGTTGGCGTCGCAGCCGTCGCAGAGGGGTTTCGTCGCGGAAGGGATGTCGGTGACGTGGACACGGCTACAGTACTCCGTGCCTTCAACCAATGTGCGTACTTGACACGTACTTTTAGCGTACTTGAAGCGCACTTAAGTGCCGATTTGCATCATTACTCAAACACTTACCGCCATGCTTTGTGCTACCTGCGCGCGGGGGAAGGTCCCATCCCGTCCCCAGTCCCCCCTTCCCCCCGTTCCGCATTCCCCCATCTCCCCATGCCTTAGATTCGACTCAAAACTGCCTCCAGTCCCGGTGCTGCTGCCTGCGCGCGGCGGAAGGCCCCATCACGTCCCCAGTCTCCCCATCTCCCCTTGCCTGCAGTCCCCGTGCTGCTGCCTGCCGGTACAAGACGACGCCCTTCCACCCCCTTCCCCTCCCCCCCCCGACCTCCCCCTCCGCATCCGCCCAATGCCGCGTTTTCCATCTCCCCCTAACCCCCTGCCCCCCCAATTTCCCCCGCCTCCCCCCTCGTTCCCCCATGGCGCCAGTCCAAGTGGTGCTGCCTGCGCGCGGAGGACGATGCGACCATCTACCATCTCCCCCATGCCCCCGTGTAACATCCCCCATTTCCCCATCGCCCCGCATCCCCTCCCCACAGTCCAAGTGGTGCTGCCTGCGCGCGGAGGACGACGCCACCATCTACCGCAAGAAGGTCATGATGAACGTCACAGGGGGCGTGGCGCCGGGCAACCTGCTGGCCGTCATGGGGTGAGCCGGGGTGATGATGGGGTGAGCCGGGGTGATGATGGGGTGAGCCGGGGTGATGATGGGGTGAGCCGGGGTGATGATGGGGTGAGCCGGGGTGATGATGGGGTGAGCCGGGGTGATGATGGGGTGAGCAGGGGTGATGATGGGGTGAGCCGGGGTGATGATGGGGTGAGGCTGAATTGTGTCTTAGCTGCCACCATCTACCGCAAGAAGGTCGTGATGAACGTCACTGGAGGGGTGGCTCACCCCATCATGGGGTGAGCCATCATACTTTCAGGGGGTGAGATTGGCTGGGGTAATGCGTTGGATGCGCTCGTCGCAAAGTGCATTAGTTTCAGGGGGTGAGACTGGATAATGTGGATTGGATAATGTGGATTGGATAATTTGGATTGGATAATGTGGATAGGATAATGTGGATTGGATAATGTGGATTGGATAATGCGGATTGGGGAAATCCTTCTACTGCTGCACATGGTGGCAGGGCGGTTGCAGGACGACCCCTCCCGTCCCCTCCCGCCCTTCCTCTGTCCCCCTCCCTCCCTCCCTCCCTCCCTCCCTCCCTCCCTCCCTCCCTCCCTCCCTCCCTCCCTCCCTCCCTCCCCTCCCTCCCTCCCTCCCTCCCTCCCCTCCCTCCCTCCCTCCCTCCCTCCCTCCCTCCCTCCCTTCCTCCCTCCCTCCCTCCCTCCCTCCCTCCCTCCCTCCCTCCCTCCCTCCCTCCCTCCCTCCCTCCCTCCCTCCCTCCCTCCCTCCCTCCCTCCCTCCCTCCCTCCCTCCCTCCCTCCCTCCCTCCCTCCCTCCCTCCCTCCCTCCCTCCCTCCCTCCCTCCCGCCCCCCTCGTCCATCCAGGCCATGGGGCTCGGGCAAGTCCCTGTTGGCGGGGCGGTGCAGGGCGAGGCGACCCCAATTGTGATCCCTCGCCGTTCTTTCCCGTATCCGCCAGACCTGAAGGCTCGGGCAAGTCCCTTCTTCTTCACATGCTGGCGGGGCAGCTGCAGGATGACCCCAACTTCCGGGGCAGCATCGAGTTCAGCGGAAAGCCTTTTGAAGTGCATCTCCCCCTCCCTCTTCCCTACCTTCCCTTTAACCCTCACAGTCCCGAAGGCTCGGGCAAGTCCCTTCTTCTTCACATGCTGGCGGGACGGCTGCAGGACGACCCCAACTTCCGGGGCAGCATCGAGTTCAGCGGAAAGCCTTTTGAAGTGCATCTCCCCCTCCCTCTTCCCTACCTTCCCTTTAACCCTCACAGTCCCGAAGGCTCGGGCAAGTCCCTTCTTCTTCACATGCTGGCGGGACGGCTGCAGGACGACCCCAACTTCCGGGGCAGCATCGAGTTCAGCGGAAAGCCTTTTGAAGTGCATCTCCCCCTCCCTCTTCCCTACCTTCCCTTTAACCCTCACAGTCCCGAAGGCTCGGGCAAGTCCCTTCTTCTTCACATGCTGGCGGGACGGCTGCAGGACGACCCCAACTTCCGGGGCAGCATCGAGTTCAGCGGAAAGCCTTTTGAAGTGCATCTCCCCCTCCCTCTTCCCTACCTTCCCTTTAACCCTCACAGTCCCGAAGGCTCGGGCAAGTCCCTTCTTCTTCACATGCTGGCGGGACGGCTGCAGGACGACCCCAACTTCCGGGGCAGCATCGAGTTCAGCGGAAAGCCTTTTGAAGTGCATCTCCCCCTCCCTCTTCCCTACCTTCCCTTTAACCCTCACAGTCCCGAAGGCTCGGGCAAGTCCCTTCTTCTTCACATGCTGGCGGGACGGCTGCAGGACGACCCCAACTTCCGGGGCAGCATCGAGTTCAGCGGAAAGCCGTTCGGGGCGACGCTGAGGCGAGAGATCGGGTTCGTGGAGAACGACGTGGACCTGCAGGCCAATCTGACGGTGAGGATCACTTTGATTGGTCAATTTGACGGTGAGGATTTGATACAAGGGGAATCTGACGGTGAGTGCTGGCGTGCAGGCCGATCTGACGGTGAGGATCGCTTGGATTGGTTGGATGGTGGGGATTTTTTGCTGTCTGTCCTGTAGGGCGACAACGGCTCTCTGTGTGCATATCTCACTCCGCAACGCTCCTTCCCCCCACCCTCCCCCGCCTTCCAGGTGAAGGAGGCGCTCGTGTTCGCGGCCATGGTGCTGCGGCTGCCAGAGGGCGCTTCCCTCCTGCGACCCCTATGTTCTTCCCTGCACCCCCCCAGGTGAAGGAGACGCTCATGTTTGCCGCTATGCTGCGACTGCCAGAGGGCACCGAGGAGATCCAAGAGACACGGCGCTTCCCTCCTCCTCTCCCTCAACCTCCCCTCCTCTCCCGTCCCCATCCCCTCCCCCCCATCCCCACTCCCCGGCCCACCCTCCCTCCCCCCCCCCCTCGCCTTCCAGGTGAAGGAGACGCTCATGTTCGCGGCCATGCTGCGGCTGCCAGAGGGCACAGAGGAGATCGACCAGATAGTTCGTGTGGAGCACGTGCTGGACTCCCTCGAGCTCACACAGTTGAGTGATGCGGGGTGGGCGGGTGGGTGGTAGTTGTGACAGCATTGGGTTCGATGAGAGCACAGATGAGATCGATGCGATCAGATAGTGCACGTGGAGCACGACTTTTGAGGCACGTGGAGCACGTGCTCCCCGTGAGCCTCAAACGATCAGATAGTGCACGTGGAGCACGACTTTTGAGGCACGTGGAGCACGTGCTCCCCGTGAGCCTCAAACGATCAGATAGTGCACGTGGAGCACGTGCTCGACTCGCTGGAGCTCACACCGTGAGTGTGGGGTTCTCGTGAACGAACCGTGTGTGCTGGTTGCCCACAGTGAGCGTGGTTGTGTCATTATAGAACCCAATGGCTGGCGGGTACGGAGGAGATCGACCGGAGAGTGCGAGTGGAGCACGTGCTGGCCCAGCTGGAGCTCATGCAGTGAGTGCCCGGGGGAGGGTGGGAGGGTAGATGGGTGGGAGGGTGGGAGGGTGGGAGGGTGGGAGGGTGGATGCGTGGGAGGGTGGGAGGGTAGATGCGTGGGAGGGTGGGTGCGTGGGTAGGTGGGGGGGTGGGTGGCAGTTGTGACAGCACAGCATTGGGTTCAATGAGGGCACGGAGGAGATCGACCAGAGAGTGCGAGTGGAGCCCGTGCTGGACCAGCTGGAGCTCACACCGGGAGTGCCGGGGGGTGGTAGTCCTGTAATTAATCCCTAGCTCCCCCTCTTATACTCTACCAAGTTCACACAGTGGGTGCTAGGTTTGCATACCTGCCTCTCCTGCTCCCCCCTCCCGAGGTAGCTCTTGATTCGACTCAAGAGTCGCCACCCCTTCTCTACCATATCCTCCCATCCTCTCCCACTCCCTTGCATCCTAAGACCCACCTCTCAGTCTCAAATCCTTGCGCACCCCACCTTTCGTCCTCTTTTCCTTCACCTTTTCCCCTCCCCTCCCCCTCTCCTTGCTCCCTCTGTCCCCTCCCCTCACAACCCCAGCTGTGCGGACAAGGTGATAGGGCGCACGGGGCGCAACGCTGTGCTGTACAACGAGCTTAGGCGGCTGGCCATCGGCGTGCAGATGATCGTCAACCCGCCGCTGCTGCTGCTGGACGAGCCGACATCAGGGTAGGTGGGGGGGGGGGGGGTCTACATTGTTACATCAGGAGGTAAGCAATTGGTGGCCTTTTCTGGCCACCAGAGTGCAGATGATCGTCAACCCGCCGCTGCTGCTGCTGGATGAACCGACCTCGGGGCGAGGATTGGGGGGAGGGGGGGCGTACATCTGGTCTGAGGAACAGGCGCCAGTAGAGGGTTGTAAGAACCAGGCGAAGATCCTCGCGTGAGGAGTCTATTTTTGAGGCGCCTCAAAAATAGAGTCCTCACGGAGGGGGGGCGTACATCTGGTCTGAGGAACAGGCGCCAGTAGAGGGTTATAAGAACCACGCGAAGATCCTCATGGGCCGTCAGGGTGAGTTTGTTACCCTTAGCCCTGGCGTGCAGGTCATCGGCAACCCGCCGCTGCTGCTGCTGCTCATCTTCTATCATGTCCAGCGACGCTCAGGGTTGGCCCTCATGCTCTCCTCATGCCTCATGCCTCATGCCTCATGCTCACTCATGCCTCATGCCTCATGCCTCATGCCTCATGCCTCATGCCTCATGCCTCATGCCTCATGCCTCATGCCTCATGCCTCATGCCTCATGCCTCATGCCTCATGCCTCATGCCTCATGCCTCATGCCTCATGCCTCATGCCTCATGCCTCATGCTCATGCCTCATGCCTCATGCCGCCTCATGCCTCATGCCTCATGCCTCATGCCTCATGCCTCATGCCTCCTCATGCCTCATGCCTCATGCCTCATGCCTCATGCCCTCATGCCTCATGCCTCATGCCTCATGCCTCCATGCCTCATGCCTCATGCCTCATGCCTCATGCCTCATGCCTCATGCCTCATGCCTCATGCCTCATGCCTCATGCCTCATGCCTCATGCCTCATGCCTCATGCCTCATGCCTCATGCCTCATGCCTCATGCCTCATGCCTCATGCCTCATGCCTCATGCCTCATGGCCTCATGCCTCATGCCTCATGCCTCATGCCTCATGCCTCATGCCTCATGCCTCATGCCTCATGCCTCATGCCTCATGCCTCATGCCTCATGCCTCATGCCTCATGCCTCATGCCTCATGCCTCATGCCCCCCCCTCCCCTCCCCATGCCCTCCTCATGCCTCATGCCTCATGCCTCATGCCTCATGCCTCATGCCTCATGCCCCCTCATGCCTCATCCTCATGCCTCGCCTCATGCCTCATGCCTCATGCCTCATGCCTCATGCTCAGCCTCATGCCTCATGCCTCATGCCCTCATGCCTCATGCCTCATGCCTCATGCCTCATGCCTCATGCCTCATGCCTCATGCCTCATGCCTCATGCCTCATGCCTCATGCCTCATGCCTCATGCTCATCCATGCCTCATGCCTCATGCCTCATGCCTCATGCCTCATGCCTCATTGCCTCTCATGCCTCATGCTCATGCCTCATGCCTCATGCCTCATGCCTCATGCCTCATGCTCATGCCTCATGCCTCATGCCTCATGCCTCATGCCTCATGCCTCATGCCTCATGCCTCATGCCTCATGCCTCCATGCCTCATGCCTCATGCCATGCCTCATGCCTCAGCTCATGCCTCATGCCTCATGCCTCATGCCTCATGCCTCATGCCTCATGCCTCATGCTCATGCCTCATGCCTCATGCCTCATCATGCCTCATGCCTCATGCCTCATCCTCATGCCTCATGCCTCTCATGCCTCATGCCTCATGCCTCATGCCAGTCATGCCTCATGCTCATGCCTCATGCCTCATGCCTCATGCCTCATGCCTCATGCCTCCATGCCTCATGCCTCATGCCTCATGCCTCATGCCCTCATGCCTCATGCCTCATGCTCATGCCTCATGCCTCATGCCTCATGCCTCCATGCCTCATGCCTCATGCCCTCATGCCTCATGCCTCATGCCTCATGCCTCATGCCTCATGCCTCATGCCTCATGCCTCATGCCTCATGCCTCATGCCTCATGCCTCCCCCCCCCCCAATGTCAATTCCCCCCCACATGATGCCTCCCCCCCCAATGTCAATCCCACATGATGCCTCCCCCCCAATGTCGATTCCCCCCCACATGATGCCTCCCCCCCAATGTCAATCCCCACATGATGCCTCCCTCCCTCCCTTTTCTCACCCTCTCTTTCACCCAGTCTCGATCACGCCAAGCAGTCTATTTTTAGGCGCCTCAAAAGATGACGCCATGGCTCTAAAGTAGGAAGGACCGTGCACTTCTCCCTCTTCGCACTTCTTCTTCCAGCCCCCCTTCCCAATCCCCCAACGTTCCTGACGGTGCCATGGCCCTGCACATCACCCGCGCGCGCCCTGCACTCCCTTGGTATAACCCGCGCACTGCATTCCTACGCACAAGCAGGCAGATCAGTAGTAGCAGCGACGATGAAGCAGCCATCCGCCAAGATGTTCTTTCTCTTCCCTCTTCCCTCTTCCCTCTTCCTCCTTCCCTCTTCCCTCTTCCCTCGTCTTCTTCCATTCCTCCTTCCCGATCTCCTGCCAGTCTCAAAGGAGCTATGGCCCTGTGCTTTACCCAAGCCCTGCACTCCTATGCCCTGGTGGGCCGGTCACTGGTAGCAACGATGAAGCAGCCGTCCACCAAGATGTTCTCCCTCTTCACGCACCTGGCATGCCACCCCCTTCCCTCTCTCAGGTTGGATGGTGCAATGGCCCTGCACGTCAGTCGAGGCCTGCGCGTCAGTTGAGCCCTGCGTGTCAGTCGAGCCCTGCGCGGCAATCGAGCCCTGCACTCGTACGCCCTTGCAGGCAGATCAGTGGAGGCCACGATGAACCACCCGTAGGCCAAGATGCTCTCCCTCTTCACGCATCTGCTGCTCATCACCCACAGCAACCCCGTGTTTGCTTTCTTTTTCACCCCCTCCCCCCACCATGTCCCAGCCTGGATGGCGCTATGGCCCTGCGGGTGATTCGCAGAACCCATCCGGACCCGGATGAACCCTGCGGGTGAATCGCAGGGCCATTTCCCAGCCTGGATGGCGCTATGGCCCTGCGAATCACCCGCTCACTCCACTCCTACGCGCCAGCAGCAGGCAGATGTGTTTTGAGTCGACTCAAATCGCGCTAACAGGCAGATCAGTGGTAGCAACAATGAAGCAGCCCTCGGCCAAGATGTTGCCCCCCTTCACGCACGTGCTGCTGCTCATCACCCACGGCAATCCAACCTTCTTCCCTCATCCTTCCCCCCTCTCCCCACTTCCCCCCCGCTCCTGGTCCCAGTCTGGATGGAGCTATGGCCCTGCGAATCACCAGGGCGCTGCACTCCTATGCGCTAGCAGGCAGATCAGTGGTGACCATGCTGAACCAGCCGTCCGCCAAGATGTTCTCCCTCTTCACTCACCTGCTGCTCATCCGCTCTTCCTCTGTGCAGTCTCGATGGAGCTATGGCCCTCCGCATTACACGAGCCCTGCACTCATACGCCTTAGCCGGCCGATCCGTAGTAGCCACCATGAAGCAGCCATCCGCCAAGATGTTCTCCCTCTTCACGCATCTGCTGCTCATCACCGACGGTAACCCCATCTTCTTTGGCGCAGCGGGCGCTGCTCTACCCTACTTTGACTCCATCGGCTACACCATGGGAGCTGATACAAGCGCTGCCGAATTCTTTCTGGTGAGCCCCTCCCTCCCACCCCTGCTCCAGTTCCCCATAAGTCTTTCTGAACGCCCCCGAGCCCCCCCCTCTCTCCCTCTCCACACACCTTCCCTCTTCACGCATCTGCTGCTCATCACCGACGGCAATCCCATCTTCTTCGGCGCTGCGGGTGCCGCGCTACCCTACTTTGACTCCATCGGCTACACCATGGGGGGGCCGACACCAGTGCTGCAGAGTTCTTCCTTGTGAGTGCCTGCTCCTTTCTTACCGTCGTTCTGGTTGCTCCCCAGCCCCACTGTTGGCCTCCTCTGCCCACGCCGCTCTGCCAGGTGATTTTTTAGCCGACTCAAAAATCGTCTTTCTGGTTGCTCCCTAGCCCCACTGTGGGGGGTTCCTCTGCCCACGCCGCGCTGCCCTACTTTGACTCCATCAGCTACACCATGGGGGCAAGCGCTGCTGAGTTCTTCCTGGTGAGTGCTCCACTCCACTCCTCGCTGCCCCCTGCTCCGTACACCATATGCCTCTCCCTGCCATAACCCTATGGCCCTCGCTGTCTTCCACTCCTCCCTACTCCCTAACCGAACCGTGCGCCTGCCCGCTCTGCTCTGCTGTACTTTGACTCCATCGGCCATACCATGGGGGCCAATACCAGTGCTGCTGAGCTGAGCTCTTCCGCCAGAGTCCTCCTCTGCCCCTGAAGCAGCGGACGCGACCATCCTTTTCGGCTCCTCCACCAACCTCATCCGCCTCTGGGCCACCGGGGACGCTGCCAGGGAGATAGAGGGCAATATTCCTGATCCCTCGTCTCGCTCCCTCTCTCTGTTCCACTTTGCACCAAGCAGGACCTCACAGCTCCCAAGGCAGCGGACGCGTCCACCCATTTCAGCACGTCCATCCATTTCAGCGCGTCCACCCATTTCAGCGCGTCCACCAGCCTCATCCGCCTCTGTTTTTGAGAATTCTCAAAAACAAAACACGTCCACCAACCTCATCCGCCTCTGGGGCACGGGGGATGCTGCCAGGGAGATAGAGCACTGCTCTTACATCCCCCATTTCCTAATCCCCATTCCCAACCCTCTCCCCTTCACCAACAGGATCTGACAGCCCCCGAAGCAGCAGATGCGTCCATTCACTTTGGCACGTCCACCAACCTCATCCGTTTGTGGGCCACCGGCGATGCTGACCTTACATTCCCCTCCCCATTCCCAACCCTCTCCCCTTCACCAACAGGATCTGACAGCCCCCGAAGCAGCAGATGCGTCCATTCACTTTGGCACGTCCACCAACCTCATCCGTTTGTGGGCCACCGGCGATGCTGACCTTACATTCCCCTCCCCATTCCCAACCCTCTCCCCTTCACCAACAGGATCTGACAGCCCCCGAAGCAGCAGATGCGTCCATTCACTTTGGCACGTCCACCAACCTCATCCGTTTGTGGGCCACCGGCGATGCTGACCTTACATTCCCCTCCCCATTCCCAACCCTCTCCCCTTCACCAACAGGATCTGACAGCCCCGGAAGCAGCAGATGCGTCCATTCACTTTGGCACGTCCACCAACCTCATCCGTTTGTGGGCCACCGGCGATGCTGACCTTACATTCCCCTCCCCATTCCCAACCCTCTCCCCTTCACCAACAGGATCTGACAGCCCCCGAAGCAGCAGATGCATCCATTCACTTTGGCACGTCCACCAACCTCATCCGTTTGTGGGCCACCGGCGATGCTGACCTTACATTCCCCTCCCCATTCCCAACCCTCTCCCCTTCACCAACAGGATCTGACAGCCCCCGAAGCAGCAGATGCGTCCATTCACTTCGGCACGTCCACCAACCTCATCCGCCTCTGGGCCACCGGGGACGCTGCCAGGGAGATAGAGCGGGCTGCCATGCCCTCGACAGCTGCCACAGTGTCCCAGGCGTCTGCTAAAAGCGGGGAGGGGGGTGAGGGTCAGGGGAATGGGGATGTGGAGGTGGGGGAGGGAGTGGGGGAGGGTACTAGAGTGAGGGATGTCGATGCGAGTATGGACTGGAGGGGAGTGAGTGGGGGGGGGGAGGGGGAATCGGAGGTGGCGGACGAGGAGGAGGAGGGAGTGGGAAGAGGTGGGTAACGTCGTGGGGTTTGCAGTTTCGGGTGCTGGCGCAGCGGCACCTGCTGTCGTACCGGGTGGTGAATCAGGACTGGATATTTGTGGCTGTTGTGGCGGTCAGCCTGCTCGTTTGCACCTTATTGCCAGGTGAGGCATGCTGGCAGGTGAGACTGGTAGAGACCCTATGGCACGTGCGGTCGTACCGGGTGGTGAATCAGGACTGGATATTTGTGGCCGTCGTGGCGGTCAGCCTGCTCGTTTGCACCTTATTGCCAGGTGAGGCATGCTGGCAGGTGAGACTGGAAGAGACCCTAGGGCACCTGCTGTCGTACCGGGTGGTGAATCAGGACTGGATATTTGTGGCCGTCGTGGCGGTCAGCCTGCTCGTTTGCACCTTATTGCCAGGTGAGGCATGCTGGCAGGTGAGACTGGAAGAGACCCTAGGGCACCTGCTGTCGTACCGGGTGGTGAATCAGGACTGGATATTTGTGGCCGTCGTGGCGGTCAGCCTGCTCGTTTGCACCTTATTGCCAGGTGAGGCATGCTGGCAGGTGAGACTGGTAGAGACCCTAGGGCACCTGCTGTCGTACCGGGTGGTGAATCAGGACTGGATATTTGTGGCCGTCGTGGCGGTCAGCCTGCTCGTTTGCACCTTATTGCCAGGTGAGGCATGCTGGCAGGTGAGACTGGTAGAGACCCTAGGGCACGTGCGGTCGTACCGGGTGGTGAATCAGGACTGGATATTTGTGGCCGTCGTGGCGGTCAGCCTGCTCGTTTGCACCTTATTGCCAGGTGAGGCATGCTGGCAGGTGAGACTGGTAGAGACCCTAGGGCACCTGCTGTCGTACCGGGTGGTGAATCAGGACTGGATATTTGTGGCCGTCGTGGCGGTCAGCCTGCTCGTTTGCACCTTATTGCCAGGTGAGGCATGCTGGCAGGTGAGACTGGAAGAGACCCTAGGGCACCTGCTGTCGTACCGGGTGGTGAATCAGGACTGGATATTTGTGGCCGTCGTGGCGGTCAGCCTGCTCGTTTGCACCTTATTGCCAGGTGAGGCATGCTGGCAGGTGAGACTGGTAGAGACCCTAGGGCACGTGCGGTCGTACCGGGTGGTGAATCAGGACTGGATATTTGTGGCCGTCGTGGCGGTCAGCCTGCTCGTTTGCACCTTATTGCCAGGTGAGGCATGCTGGCAGGTGAGACTGGTAGAGACCCTAGGGCACGTGCGGTCGTACCGGGTGGTGAATCAGGACTGGATATTTGTGGCCGTCGTGGCGGTCAGCCTGCTCGTTTGCACCTTATTGCCAGGTGAGGCATGCTGGCAGGTGAGACTGGTAGAGACCCTAGGGCACGTGCTGTCGTACCGGGTGGTGAATCAGGACTGGATATTTGTGGCCGTCGTGGCGGTCAGCCTGCTCGTTTGCACCTTATTGCCAGGTGAGGCATGCTGGCAGGTGAGACTGGTAGAGACCCTAGGGCACCTGCTGTCGTACCGGGTGGTGAATCAGGACTGGATATTTGTGGCCGTCGTGGCGGTCAGCCTGCTCGTTTGCACCTTATTGCCAGGTGAGGCATGCTGGCAGGTGAGACTGGTAGAGACCCTAGGGCACCTGCTGTCGTACCGGGTGGTGAATCAGGACTGGATATTTGTGGCCGTCGTGGCGGTCAGCCTTTTCGTCTGCACCTTGCTGCCTGGTGAGGCATGCTGGCAGGTGAGAGTGGTTGACGCACTAAGGCGCAGCTGCAGCTGCGGTCGTACCGAGAGGTGAATCAAGCAGACTAGATGTTCAAGGATCATCCTCATCCTCCCCATCCCCCTCATCCCCCCATCCCCCTCATCCCCCCATCCCCCCCATCCTCCCCATCCCCCTCATCCCCCCATCCCCCCCATCCCCCCATCCCCCTCATCCCCCCATCCCCCTCATCCCCCCATCCCCCTCATCCCCCCATCCCCCCATCCCCCCCATCCCCCTCATCCCCCCCATCCCCCCCATCCCCCTATCCCCCCCATCCCCCCGATCCCCCTCGTCCCCCCCATCCCCCTCATCCCCCTCATCCCAGGCTGCCTGTGGTGCAAGCACGATCCAACCACAGCCATGTGCATTCGCGGCATGGCGGGGCTCATCTTCTTCTCACACTTCTTCTGGGGGATCATCCCCATGCTCACCTCCCTCTCTCATTCCCACCCTTCCAAGTTCCATCCGCCCTCCAACCGCTTGCCCCATGTCATCCCAGGTTGCTCTGGTACAAGCGCGATCCAACCACAGCCGAGGGCATTCGCGATATGGCGGGGCTCATCTTCTTCTCACAGTTCTTCTGGGGGCTCATCCCCATGCTCACCTCCGTCATCACCTTCCTGGAGGACCGCAAGTCAGTCCAAAAAGAGCAAGAGGACGGAGTGTATCATATCTCCGCGTACTACGCCGCCCGGACGCTGCTCAGCCTGCCGTACGAGATCCTGCCGCCCGTCTTCTACAGCTGCATCGTCTATTGGATGACCGGGCTCAACCCGTCGGGCGGCCGGTTCGTCTTATTCACTTTAGTGCTTGTACTCGATACAATGGTGGCATCATCTATAGGCATGGCGGTGGGGACTGCGACGTCTACAGTGAAACAGGCGATTTCGATTGCGGCTATTCTGCAGCTGCTGTCGGTTATGGTGGTGCATTTCTTATCTCTCAATCCCCCGGCGTGGGTGGGGTGGACGCAGTACCTCTCTTTCTCAACCTATGTTAACAAGGTGGGTCGTCTCCCTTGTACCTCCTGCGTGCACACTTCCCCTGCGTGCACACTTGCTCATGCACGCTATCAACCACTCCCCCCTCACGTGTGGGTGGGATGGACGCACTACCTCTCTTTCTCTCGGCTTGCATCAACAAGGTGGGTCTTCCTCCTGCACTCCATCACACACACTCTCCTCACTTTGAGGGTGGGACCAAGGACCACTTCACTACCACTCCTTCTCGACTTGCGTTGACAAGGTTTGCCTCCTCCCTCCTTTCTGTTCAGTGCTCACCTTGTAGGCATTCATATTTGCGACCTTCCCCCCTCCTATATGCGACCTTGCCTCATATGTTGTTCCACACTAGCATAGCATACATCGCCTTTCTCCTTCACCCCTCTCCTTCTCTTCACACCTACCCTTCTCCGGCCTGCCTACACCACCCCTGCACTCAACCACACTCACGCCCAACACCCTTCCCCCCTTCCCCCTCCCCCCCAATATCGAACACTCTCCTTTCCTCAGTTGCTAATGCGGATCAACTTTGATTCTGCCGAATCGTTCACTGGCAACTGTAGCGCTTCCAACACGAGCAGCAGCACCGCAGCCAACACGTGCTCGTGTGCCGCTACTCTTGAGCTATCGGGCCTGAGGAATCCGTTACCGGGGAGTGGGTGGCTGGAAGCGTGCATCCTCGTTGCCATGCTCATCTTCTTCCGCTTGCTTGCTCTGCTTATAGTGAAGCTCCGGTTGCAGTCGTGGCGGTGGCATCGCAATGGCCGCACTTGAGGATAGGAGGATATGTAGTTGCATGTCTATGGTATAAAGGCTATGCAACCAATCTATACAATCCACCGGTGTTCCTCTAAACAGCCAAGGCTTTGGGGCTTATTATAAAATGCAGCTATTATTGTGTTTGTGTAAGCACCTCATGAAATCTCGTTTTTAGCGTGAAGTAGCAAGCAATCGTTATATATAAACTTCATCAACGTTCATTGTCATACTCACCCTTACTGTAACGCGCTCTGGACAGTGCTGAAGTTTTGCAGTTTTCCCCACTTCCAATTCTCACCTACACCAGATGCCAGTCAAGAACAGACTTTGGTGCGCGTTTTCGGGCAGAAGGACCCACCTGCCGTGCCAAGGCAAATTGACCACTGGGCAGGATAATTGTCCAGCATAGTGCACATTTGATCTCCACAGTGCCAATTGCCACGTAATGTCGGTGGAACTGTACCTTCGCTGTTCTTCTGTCGGCGTTGCACTTGCTGCTTGTTTCAGAAGCTCATTTGACTGCAAACCGTCAGCATTCTCGCTCGCGAAGTCATAGTACCGGTCGCCGCTATTCCGCACGGTCAAAATTTCAAATCGCGACTGGCATCTCAGACGACGGACGTCGAATTTCCGTACCTTGTCGCTAGAAGCGTTACATATCTGCAGTGCCGTTAGTTTTCTCCTCAGGCAGTGCTGTTTGGCGTTTAGCCGTCTGCTTCCAGTCCACGCCAGCCTGGTAAGTCCTGCAACTGTTCACGTGGGACTGCGGCACTTGCGTGGTCGGTGCCCACCCGGACACTCCTTCCGCGCCCCCCACCAAAACCCAGCCCTGGGCAGCACGACTCCGCGTCGCAGGCTCTGGAGGGAACCGCGTTTTTTTCGTCTCCGTGTCGACGTGGCTCGATCTGTGCGGGTCATCTCTCCGCGTCGAATCTCGGCAATTCGTGTCATCTGGAAAAACCGAGTGAGGGAGGGAGTTAGACTCGGCTGCCCTCGCCAAATTCCCCTCACTCGCACCCAATCCCACTCCACCCTACCTCAACGCTCTCAACCTCCTCGATCGAAGCCGACGCAGCACCGAACTTCCACCGCTCCATTTATCTCCCGCTTTCTCGTCATTCTGTTTATCCAGATATAGCAATCAAGCGTCCATCCAAGACCGTCTTTCGACCAGACTAGTTTCTCCATCAACCAAGGATCGGCAGGGAGCGAGAGCAGCAAGCAGCAGCAACTTAAGTACTTTCAAAACGAGAGCACGGAACACATCAACTTGACTCGGACGACTCGAAATATGGCCACCATGGATTCCGTTCTTCTATCTTCAAACCCTCTCAAGCGCAAGGTCTCTAACGAGTCTTGCGTCGTCCCCTCACAAGCTGCTGCTCTCCCTCCCTGCCTTTCCTCTGACTCCACTTTCCTCTCCGGAGTCTTCTCCTCTTCCCCCTCCTCCTCCCCCGCCCTCTCCGCCGCCGTTGCCGCGTCTTCTCAAAACGAGCACCCGAACCAGCCCTCCGCCAAGCGCTACCGGGGCGTGCGGCAGCGCTCGTGGGGCAAGTGGGTGTGCGAGATCCGCGAGCCGCGCACGCGCGCGCGCGTGTGGCTGGGGTCCTACAGCTCTGCGGAGGAGGCCGCGCGAGTCTACGACACCGCCGCGCTCATGCTGCACGGCGCGCACGGCGCGGAGCGCCGCCTCAACTTCCCGCACACGGCGGCGACCGCCGTCGGCGGCGGCATCCACATGCGCCCCGTCGTGGTCTCCCGCGCGACCGCGGAGTCTCTGCTGCGCGCAGCGCGCAACCTCGCGGCGGCGGCGAACGGCGCATCTACCGCGGAGCTCGCGGGCGCGGACGCGGAAGTGAAGACGTTCAGCAGCGAGTGGGTGCAGCTGGAGATCGCGGGCGCTAACGTGCTCTTCGCCGAATGCCCCGCGCCCGGGCTCCTTCCCCTCGCTCCCTCCGTCGCGCCAGCTGTCCCCACCCCCGCTCCCGCTCCCGCTCCCGTTCCCGCTCCCGTTTCCGCTCCTGCTCGCGCACCTGCGGCGCCGATCGCGCCTGTCTCCTCTCCCTCTCCCCTCTCCTCTGTCCCCACTCTCTCCGCTGGCGACGACCTCCTCGTCGCATCATGCGACAACGTCGCCAGTGACAACGGCGGCGACAGCTGTGCAATTCTGGAGCTCCCAGAGCTCGACTGGCCGGAGATGGAGAAGTGCCCGTCGGCCGACGATTCGGCTCTCTTCGACGAGATCGAGAAGTCCGACTCGGCGCGCTTCGACGACGCCTTTAATCTCTCCGATGAGGAGCTCTTCGGCCTCTCCTCATCATCCGCTTCGGTATCCGCCTCCCCCTCCCACGACTCCGCCTTCGCCTGCGATTCCGGTTCCGCCGCTGCGCTCGAGAGCGCCTTCCCGTTCTTCCCCCTAGAGGACGAGGGGATTCAGTTCGTGCCGTCGCCACCAACGTTCCCACCCGTGTTCCCCGCGCCCGCTGCTCCCGCCGTGCCCGCCGCCGCGTCAGCCGCCGCGGAGTTTCTGGCGGCGCCGCCGTCGCCGTTGTCGTCGTACGGCAGCGTGTCGCGCTCCGTCTCCGCCTGCCACGTCACGCCCAGCGCTTCGGCCAGCGAATCTGGCTGCGCCGCCGCTGGCACGACCTCCGACGCTGTCTCCGCCGGCTCCGCGGACTCCGCGGGTTCCGCGGGTTCCTTGGAGAACGCGCAGCAGCGCGCGGATATGCTGGTATCGCTGGTGCGCGAGCTGTCGACCATCACCGCGGTCCTGCAGCACCTGCAGAAGGAGCACCAGCTGCGCCTCATGCTGCAGCAGCAGCAGCAGTAAAGAGGAGCAGCAGCAGCAGCAGCCCGAATCCTGCTTAGCTTATGACGCCCAATCCTTCCGTGGCTGTCTGCTGCTTTTGCTTACCTCCTCACTCACCGCGCCTCTCCTCTCTGCACTCTCAACCTCCCGAGTCCTCTCATGACTCAGCAGCCAATCGAGTCAGCAGCAATCACCTCGAGTACCCCTCATGCGCTTCCGACCCTTCCCTCGATTCCCCTCCTTCCCTCTGATCCTCTCCCTGAATCCGAATCACATATCCTTCCCCGTTCTCAACCTAATCCGAATCACATGTCACATATCCGAATCCGCCTAGTCCTCGGCCTCCCTCCTTCCCTCCTGGTTCGTCTACAGTCGGTGTAGACAGCCATCCTGAAGGTAGTCTTTGTCGGGGGAGTTGACTCTGAAGTCTGCTCTTTCACCCTCCGCCCAAGCCTCACCTCAGACCCCCTCGTCCCTCATCTCCCTCCTGAACCGGCTACACTCGGGGAAGCCAGCCATCATGAAGGCCCTAAGCACCGTTTTTAAGTGTGCCCAACAGTGCCCTCATGATGATTGTCTTTCTTCCGAAAGCCACTGCACCTACCTCCTGTGAAGATCCCGCCTTTCCTCAAAGGCCTCAATTTGTTCATGTCTCTCCTCGGAGGTATCTGTCCGTTGGATTCAAGAGCTCAGTTCTAGGTTCCCTCTTGCTTGTTCTCGATACTGTTTTGGGATTTGCGTGTGTGAGTTCTGAAAGTTCAGCCTGTAGTATGAGTAAAACACAAATCAATAATGCCTTTTAGTGTAAGTGCTGTCTTTAAAGCGAGAAGTTAAAATAGTGAAGGCCGTTCTTGTTAACGTAGAAACGAATAATTACTAGAGGTGGAAACCTAGAACAAATACTAGTTGGTTGTACTCACTAGAAGCATACCTCAGTCTAGCCTATAACTTCTACATAGATAATATGTATAAGTTGACACACCCCCTAGGCTAGACAAGGGGTGAAACTAAACAAGAAGCATACAGCTCAGGGCGGCACTACTAGTCCAACCACTGAGGCAGGGGTCTGGAGACCAGTCAGCAAGAATACAACCAAAACTGAAGCAAGCCAGGGTGGCACTACTAGTCCAGCCACTGGAGGTAAGGCCACAAGGCCAGTCTGACAAGCATATATAATAGAGAGTACACAATCAGGATCCTAACAGGGGAGCAGCTACAGGAACAAGACCAAGCTGTACACAGTGCCGCTGATGATCTTTAGGCGCAAGCGCCTTAGTAAAGATATCAGCTGTGTTGGCACCTGAGGCCAAGTGAACTACGCGGGCCTGGCGGCGCTGCTGTAGCTCGCGCAGGAGGAAGTACCGCAGCTGGATATGCTTCGCTCTGCCCTCAAGCCGAGGCTCCTGACACAGGAGTATCATGGCCCTGTTGTCAGCGTACAGGACCGGGGCAGAGCTAGGCCGCTCACCTAAGTCTGTGAGCAAGAAGGTCAGCCAGCGGAGCTCCTGTGCCGCCATGGCACCAGCGTAGATCTCAGCCTCACAGCTAGACTGAGCCACAGACGACGAGCGAGTGGATCTCCAAGAGATAGCACCCGAACCAAGGCTGAAACAGTAGCCCTGCGACGACCTGAGCGTCTCAGCGTCGTCTGCCCAAGAAGCGTCTGTGTGTCCAGTAAGGACCACTGGCCTGCGTCCTCCTAGCACTAACCCCATGCCTGATGTACTAGCAAGATAACGCAAAACCCTCTTAGCGGCAGACCAGTGCTGAGGTCGGTGTCTGCCTGTAGCCACAAAGCGAGCCAGGATGCTGAGAGGGTATGCGAGATCTGGGCGAGTGCAAGTCATCAGGTACATGAGGCAACCCACCAGCTCTGCGTAGGGGCCACTGGGCTCTACTGGCTCCTCAGGAACGGGAGCAGAGAGCCCATGGTCTACGGGTAGAGGTGTGGGCTGTGCAGAGGAGAACTGAAGACCGAACCTCTGAAGGACCTGACGCACCAAGTGTGACTGGGTCAGAGTGATGGTGCGTGCTGCTCTGTCCCTAGAGATCTGCAGGCCAAGATAGCGACGCAGCTCTCCAAGGTCAGTGCAGGTGTGTCTCTTCAGCAGCTCAGCCTTCACAGAGGCCAGTGCGTCCCTGTCAGGAGTAGCGAAGACCAGGTCGTCTACGTAGACAAGGATGTAGAACGGAGTCTGGCCGGAACGCACAAACAGTGAAGGGTCAGCAGAGGACGGAAAGAACTGCAGGTCTGCTAACGTGGCACGTAGCGTGTCGTGCCACTCGCGGGGAGCCTGACGCAGGCCGTAGACCGGGCGCCTGAGAAGCC